AAACAAAGCTCTGTCCCTGCCCTGGATCCCAGAGGCCGAGCTGCCAGAATTCTCCCTTGACCTGTGACCAGGCGAGCTAAGGAGAAGGGTGGGTAACGTTTTCCCGGTCCTTTTGAAGCTCACTTTGAAGCCAGAGCAGGTGCTAAAAACACGCACGTTTACAGGCCCACGGGCAAACCAACAGGCCCACAACAGTGAACCGACCCATGCCACCGCCCTTCACCCACTACGGATTCAGAGACAAAGCTACTTCTGGAGACGCGAGCCCGACGAGGGCCCTCTCTGCACCCAAACAGGATACTCACGTGATTGCATTCCTCTATGCGGTACAGTTGATCAGGCGTACACCTCTCCAAAACGGGTTCAAGGACAGAATACGGGACGCCTCCCACTTCAAAGATCGCTGCAGAGAATCAAAGGTGGAAGTGTCGAATATTGGCCGGCCCCGCCGGCCAAGGCCACAACGGGGTTAAGAGCAAGAGAAAAGCGTGGGACTTACAATCGATGTTGTTTTTAAGAACCCGGATGCACTGCTGGTGCAAGGTCATCATTTTGGGGAGATAGGCACACTTGGAGCCAGAATACACCTGCATCTTGGAATTCATTCTCCGTCCGGTGAATCCAGCTTCTTCCTCTTCCTGGGGTGAAGACAGTGCTGCAGGGCAAGGACAACAGGACCGCGTGTCACACAGGGCACTAAGCTGTGCAGGGAAAGCTCTCCTTCTCTGCCCCCTCCTCAGCCTCCCACTGCCCTTTCCCAAAGGCCACCACGGTTGCCGGTTTCTTGTGTGTATTCTTCTAGCGAGTCTATGCAAAAATAAGTAAATATGTATTTCATTCCTTTTTCACCGATTAAAAAACCCCCACTATCAACTTTTTTCATTTGCCACATTTTAGAAATCATCCTATGTCAGACACAGACCTTCCCACATTTTTTACAGCTGTACAGGAGGCCACTGTGTGCGTGACCACGGTTCATGTGATTTGTCTCTTGCTGAGGGACCCTTATGTGGCTTCTAATTCTTCTGCTATTAAAACTAGACCTTTTTTTTTTTTTTTTTAAAGATAAAAAGCTCATGTACAGCATATGAAGGGTAGCTAGTAACCGCAGCAAAGATTTACTGAACATTCACCCTGTGGAAAAACCCAGAGTTAAGAGCTTTACCAGCATTATCATTTTTAATCCACTTAGTAAGTCAGACACCATTATCAGGTCCACTTATGGAGCATGAGACTGAAGTCCAAGGAAATGATTACCGAAGTTCATAGAACGTGAAGCCAGAGCTGGGATTCACACCCAAGCCGTCAAACTCCAGAGCCCAGGACACTAGAAAGCTCACCCAAATCTTATGACCTCGTGAACAAATTTTTAAAATCTTTGTTCCATTCAGAAAAGAATGCAGAAAATTACCTTTTCGCTTTGGTGGGAAGGAGGACATCAATTCCAGGGTAGGAAGCGGCCGGTAATTGGCCTGGATCACAGGTAACGGGAGGTCTGGCAACACGGGCAATGCATCAGCGGGGACCTGCGGTGAGAACACCAGTAACTGGACAGCCCGCTGGGCAAGCACAGCTCCCCACCCTTGGCCGACTGCCAGCCGCGGTGACCAGGCAGGCGACTTCACGAGCAGACCCAGGCTGGAGGAGGGCCGTCGGTCAGGTCTGACACCACCGAGGGCAGGACATACACCGGGATGGGCCCAGCACAGCGGGACACCTCCAAAAACACTCGTCTTGGGTACTAGCTACACCCTGGCAGCACCTCCAAAGGCCTGGAGGCGATTACTTCAAACTGAAACGGCAGGCCACGAAAAAGCCAGCCAAGCACGACAGCGGCAAGACAAGTCCTGGGAGCTGTGCGGGGCCAGATGCTCTGACTGGGAAGCCACCAAGGGGCTGAAGGGCTTACCTTTTTCAGCTTGGCTGAATCGGCTCCAACTGGCTGAAGCCTCTCGGACTTGTTTTCATTTACCTTAGGTAATTTCTGAACGGAGTCCAAGTTTTTATTAGTGCTTTTCGAATCAGTTTTTTTAAGTCCTTTTTCTCCAAGAGTCGTGGCTGAGGCTTTCACAATCTTTTTCTTTTTCTTCCGGGGCTGGTCGTAGCTGAGGTAGGACTCAAAAGACATAGTGGGCTGCTCAAATTCATCATCCATATCTGCCTCCTCAACCTTAGGGAGGGAGCCCACTGACTTTCTATCTGAATGAGAAGTTTTTACCTTCCCTTCTGAAGTTTTTAGGTTGTTGGAACCCCTCTCTTTCACCTTGGGCAGTGGGTCTCCCGCCCCCTTTCCTACATCTAAGCTGTCTAGACTCTGCTTATTTTTGTCCGATTTGGTTTTCTCTGGGTCTCTGTGCTTTGGCTTGTTTTTAAGGTGGTTGTCTGAAGCAACTTCCAAGGGGGGTAAAAACTTCTTCTTGGTGCTGCCCTCTTTCTCCTTCTCTTTCTTGACACTAGAGGGTGGTTTCTCCTTCGTGCTATCCCCTGAGAGCGGCCTTCGGTTTTCCTCTTTGGAGACAGACTTGTGTGATTTCTCTCTGCTCAAAGACGCCTTCCCGTCTCCCCTGGCATCCACTGGACGTTTTTCCTTGTAAGAAGATCTGTGCTCCTTGTTCTGACTCACAACCCCTTTCCCCTGGGGATCCCCCAGGTGTCGGTCTTGACTGACCCCCAGTCTGTCCTGAAAGGCATTACTGTGGCCTTTCCCAGGCTTCTGATGTGGGACAAAGGGCTCATGATCTTCCTCCGGGGATCTGTAATGGTCTGTGGACATTTGATGGGGACTGGCAGATGACAGAGGGGACTGAACATGGCCGTAATCAGAAGATTCGTGGTCTGAAGAGTAAACGGGGGAAACTCTATGGCACCTCTTTCTCTCGTCTCTCCTCTCTTGAACGTGAGACACTTTGTGAGTTCTCTCAGGTTCCGAGAGTTTCCTGTGTTTTTTCTGCCTGTGGTCAGGACTATAGGATTGGCTACTGGAGGCTTTCCAGTTTTCCTGGTAGTCACCCTCTATCTCCTCCTTCTGAACAGCATCCCTGGGGCGCTTCCGGGAATTGCTCTTGTCAAAGTCCTGTTCATCAGGCTCGGAGTTTCTAGAATAAAAGAAAAAGCAGATAAAGCAGATATAAATCTCAGTGTAATCTTTGTTCAGAGGACAAAGTCATAGAACCTGAACTCACAAAAATAGATGGAAACAGATGCAGAGTTAGACACAAGGTCTTGGGAAGAGGGTGAATGGATTCTGCTCTATGATACTCCACTGTTGTGAGACTGGGAAAACTCAAATATTCAACAGATGGAAAACGATATGTTTAAGTACAGGATACAAAGATCAAATATCTTGGGGACATGAAAAATGCTTTGAAGTTTTTCAAAACAGGGAGAATTTAACTTGTTATGTTAAAAAGGGGGCTGGGGCGTCTGGGTAGCTCCACAGGTTAAGGGTCTGACTCTTGATTTTGGCTCAGATCATGATCTTGTGGTTCATGGAATCGAGCCCCACATCGGGCTCTGGGCTGACAGTACAGAGCCTGCTTGGGACTCTCTCTCTCTCTCTCTCTCTCTGCCCCTCCCCTGCTCACCTGTGCAGAAGTACGCAAAATAAATAAACCAACCTTTAAAAAAAAAAAAAAAAAAAAAGATGGGGGTAGGTGCTATTGCGACACCTGGCTGGTTGGAGGATGCCACTCTTGATCTCAGGGTTTGTGAGTTCAGGCCCCATGACAGGTGTAGAGATTACTTAAAAATGAAATCTTTAAAAAAATGGAGGGGAGCAGGCCATTATTTATATAGTTTGTTCCCAACTGTATACAAACATTTTTTAAAAAGAGGGGAGAGGTGGGGCGCCTGGGTGGCACAGTCGGTTAAGCGTCCGACTTCAACCAGGTCACGATCTCGCGGTCCGTGAGTTCGAGCCCCGCGTCGGGCTCTGGGCTGATGGCTCAGAGCCTGGAGCCTGTTTCCGATTCTGTGTCTCCCTCTCTCTCTGCCCCTCCCCCGTTCATGCTCTGTCTCTCTCTGTCCCAAAAATAAATAAACGTTGAAAAAAAAAAATTTTTTAAAAGAGGGGAGAGGAATGTCTGGCTCTTAATTTCAACTCAGGTCATGATCTCACAGTTCTGAGATCAAGCCCTGTGTTGGGCTCTTCAATGAGTGTGAAGTGAAGCCTGCTTGAGATTCTCTCCCTCCCTCTCACTCTGCCCCTCTCCCCTGTGTGCATCACACACTCTCTCTCTAAAAATAAAAAAGAGTAGAAAGAAACATATCAAAATACTAATAATGCTTATGTTCGGATGGTAGAATTACAAAAAATTTTCATTCTTATTTCCATTTTTTAATATTTTCTAAAATCCTATAATGATCATGAATTATTTTTATAATCAAGGCCAAATAAATGTTTTAAATAAGAAGGCAGAGAAGGAATAATAAAACGTATCCTGTCTGTAAACATTCTAGGTACCATATTGAAGCATGAGGTTGAGCAAACCTACAGAGTAATCAACGTTCTTACCGCTCCACAGGAACCAGCTTCTTCCACTGGGCCACCAGGTCCCTGGCAAAGCTTCCGACATGCTCATGTTTTCGTAAGCTATTTACTGTTTTCCCAACCCCGGTCTCCTACAAATTTGACAGAAGAATTGTTAGAGGGTCGTGGAACTAGGCTCACAACTTTCTGAAGAAATAAGGCCTCTTGCTTTGAGAAACTCCTTCCTTAAACATATGTTGCAAGTCTCAACACAAAATTACTTTGTGTCTATGCCTCAAACCTCTAATGACACACAGTAGCAAAGCACACGACTCCAAAGAGAAAAAACAATGTATTAAAATACTTCCAGAACTTTAACAATAAATAACAAGAGTGATTATGGCAGGTGGCAGGCATTGAGCTAAGAGCTTCGCATACAATGTCTCAATGAGTCCTTAAAACAACTCTGTGAGGCAGGAATCTGTCCAGTTATTAGCCAGAAGTCCTAGAACGTGGATCTGAATCCAAGACTAACTGATGCCAAAGTCAAAGTTCTTTTAATTTTTTTTTAAATTCTAAGATAAAATTCACCACTTTATTATTATTTTTTTCAATTAGCAATAATCGTACCTTGGGTAAACCTCATTGGCCATGATAATGCCACACTGCGCAAAGCTCATTTTAACCATTTTAAAGTGTATGGTCTGTTGGTTTCCAGAACACTCACAATACTGCACAACCATCACCACTGATTCCAGAACATTTCCGTAAACCTACAGAGAAACCCCATTCCTCCCAACTTCCTCCACCTCCCTACTTTCGGGCCTATGGATCTGCCTGTTCTGGACATTTCACATAAATAGAACCATACATTATGTGGCCTTGTGTCTGGCTTCTTTCACTTTCAAAGCCCATGCTTTTAACCTTACTGTACAATCCCTCCCAGTGGGAAGGGGATGGAATATAGTTATATAATATCTAACAGTTCTTACCGCAAGAATGTCTACTGTAATAGGCAAGGTGGAGAGTTTCTTCAAATATTTCAAGAGCTGTAGAGAGAATAAAAAAAACATTAATTTCTATAAAATCAGAATCACTCACTGGAAGATAATATCTGACAGTTAAGTGCTTATTGAGTTCTAAGTGTTGTACAGTAATAAGTATGGTTATTATCTCTATTTTACAAGTGTGAAAACAGGCTCAGGAAAGTGAAGTTACTTGCCCCAGGATGCAACAAGGGCCAGATACACGCAGGTCTGTGGCTTTAGATTGCCTGCTTTCAATTACTGTGCAACACCAAGGTGAGAGGAGACTTAAAGAGAACCAGACCTACCAACTCTAACAAAAATCAACAACTATCGCTGCCCCAGTTTTGAGAGAGAATTTCTGAGAAAGGTACCAATTTAGGGAAATTACCCATGAACCCAGCACAAAGGAAAGTAAGGAGAAGAGGTTTCTCCAGGAAAAGGGTATCATGTTTCCAGGAAGAGTCACAGTTTAACAGAATTGTTTTTTTGATACAAGTGGGAATTTCAAGACCTGCGTCAAGTTGCCAGAATCAGAGCTTTGCTGGTGCAAATGGTGAACACAAAATGTCTGGGTAGATTAGAAAACTGATCTGGGTTTGGCCACATTTCCTTTCTGTAGTCCTAAAACTAGGTCAAAATCAGGATAGCAGAGCTGTTGAGACAGAGTTCTGGAGTTGGGGACACGCTTCAGTTTGGCCCTGTCATCGCCCTGCTGGGCGATCTTGTGCAAGTCATTAACCTTCTTGAACCTCAGTTACTTCATCTGCAAAAAAGGAACTGATCCTGTCTCTTTACAACGTTACAAGCTGTGAGGATTCTCAGAGACAAACCATGTGCAGTCCTGGGCCACAGTGCCTGGAATAGTAACAGTGACTGCCCCTTACATTTCAGCATCAGATAACAAGATCTGCCCCCTTTCCACCATAAGAGCTCCATAAATGTTTTGTTTTTTTTTTTTTAATGCTTATCATTAATCATTTCATTCATCAACTGACAGCTCTTTCAATGTCTCCCCTTGATCGTCAACCAGAGAGTCCCCAGCTAATTCCTACTTACTCCATTTGTACCCTAAGTTATGATTGGCTATACCTCTATCTAGGACACGTGTATATGGATATAAAACACACTTAGCCTTCAAGGGGTGCTGCAATGTACAAAAAATAGTAACTGTGACTACCTTCACATTTCAGCATCAGGTAAGATCTGCCCTTTTCCATGTGTAAACCAGTCTGTAATTGGTATGCCATATTGCTATTAGGTGTAGGAGAAAGTATGTTCTTCCGGTCATTCTACTTCAATAATTACTCAACTCAGTCTCTAGGCAGAGCAACTGGGTCACCAGTGATAATCTTGTTTGGCTGGGAATAAATGAGAAGCCAAGGGATGTATCTAGGGAGTTTCACCTTCATAGCTGAATGAAAATTATTCTCCACTTCAAATTTGATTACCACCATCATCCATCCAACTCAGGATAAAGTTTATGTGCGTTTCTGGTCACCCACGCTATGGGTGCAAAGATTAATGCTAATTCCATTTCTTAAAGGGAAATTCAGGGTCATCGTAGAGGTTAAAAATGGGTTGTCTCCCCTAATGCCATTCCCTGGAAGATATTTATAGACCATCTATTGTGTGTCCGCTACTATGCTAGTAAGTTCTTACACGTGTTACTGCATTTCATCTTGGTTAACCAACTCTATGAAGTGGATACTTTTCTCCCCATTTTAGATACTGAAGCAGTCCAGTAAGGTTAGTCCCTTGCCTAATGAGCTAGTAAGTCAAGTGTGTCTACAAAAGCATGAACTACAAAGACAGGAGAAACATCCAACACAATGACACTGTCCTTAGAAAATAAGAAAATAAGAAAATAGAACAGGAGCTTATGTGCCTGGAAACAAAGCTGAAGAGCTCGTCCTCAGTATTACCTTGTCAGACAGTTTAAAGTTCACAGAGTAAAGGAGGTCACCACAGGGAGTCCCAGGACCTCTACAAAGCCAACATATACAGATGGGGCCAGAAGTCACTGAGGGAGTGTTCATCTCAAAGCCTAACACTAATTGTGAAGTGTAAATGCTGCCTTTCTGCTTTGCTTTGGGTTAGCAGGGGTGACTTGAAAGCAGACAAAACTAAAACCCTGGGATTTTCAAAGTGACTGCGTGCACCGTAAGAGAAAAAGGGCTCCAGAGCCCTTCTATTTTCAATGAGGTTCAAGAAAGAACAAAGCAGTACCAAGGTAAAAGCACTTTGGGCATCCTCAGGTAGGTGGAAACTTGCTGTTATCAAACCAAGGGACCAACTGCAGAGTTTGCAAGAACTGATAATAGCTCATTGAGAAACGCCAAACATTTGCACAGTACACGCTTAGGAATCTCAGCTGTCCTTTGCACACCCCCTTCAACCCAAAGAGCAAAAAGATGTTCCTGATGTTGACCCCTTGTTCTCCACTTGCTATCTGTGTTCTCCGTAGTTTTCACATTCAAAATGTAACACAGGACAGGTAACTTTACCACCCCTGAAAACTTGTTTCCAATTAAATGGTAGGAGCCAAGTGACCCTGACCTGATCCCTTTTCCTCAAGTAAGCCCACATCACTGATAGACTTACAGCAGAAAACAAAGTTACAGTTAAGCACCTACGTTTAATAGGAGAAAATCCATGAACATAGGTCTGGAATCAACCCTTTGGCTAATAATGGTTTGAAAATGCGAGTTAGCTGCAAAGTCAATACTGCTATATAATCATCTTGCAATTTCAAGAACAACCTGTGGGAGCTTGTTGGGTTAACAGAAGGCTGAGAAGGCCAGTGTGCCAGCTTGCAGTTTTCCCCTCTGCAGTTAGCTCATTTCTGAATGCCAACTATTGTGTCCTTTGCAAAAAGGATCTCCCAACATTTTCTCATCTTCATAATGCAAAACCAGGAGCTCTGGATGATCTGCGATCTGGGAAGTAAAAGCCCAAACACTCAGGATAATCACTAATAATTCAAGTAGGATGAGACACCAACAAACCTTTTCCTAATTTGAAATTTCATGCACACCGACTACTAGAAGAGCTACTTCAAAATTTAAATTCCAGTGGAAAAGGACTATGGATACTACCTGGCACTTTTTTTTTTTTTTTTTTTAAAACCTTATAGTAATAAAGACCAAACTGGCAGGGAGGGGGTAGAACATAATACTGCTTTAAGGTTTTAAACATCAGTCACAAACCTACAGTGTTCAGGAAAACCAGCTAGTGCTCGGAAATAACGACCACTTATTAGATGTCCACAAAGGGTTATTGTAAAAAGAAACTTGTAAATATGTCTGGCCACTAGGAATTGAAGCTGCAACAGAATATATACCATAAACTGAAAGCATTTACGTTTTCACAGATTCAAAACTAAGATGGCTTCCTGAGCCATACCTCTTTGAGCCAGGTATGCATAAGAAGTTAAAGAGTGGCCTGATGGTGAGCTACAGCGTACAGCTTTCAGAAGTGGAGAAAAAAAGCCACCTCGGCCAGGCGCCAGGCTCGAAACAAGGCGAAGAGAAAGGAGTCCTTCAAAAACAATCAATCTGTAGAGTGGTGACTAAGATCTACCGAGCACTTCCTATAAGACTGGCCTTCCCCCCCTGAGTGGAGTCCTAGGAAGCAGGTGAGCAAACAGACCCAGCAAAGAAGTCCCCAGTGTCCATGGCTGGGAAATGGATTAGAACCCACACGTTATGGCCACTTCATCTCCACTCCTCTCCTCCATTACTCGGTCTTCAAAAGGCACTCTGGGGCTCAGAGATCCAACTCAGGACCTGCACACTCCAGCCAGAGTGCTCAGGGGGAACGTCTGACACCCAAGTGTTTTCATCAGTGTAGTTCAGTTTTCAAAAAATTCTAACATCCAGACACTGTCCCAGACTCTGAGAGGAGGGATAAAGTCGAGAGAGTGGGAGGAATGCATTTAACTTAAGAAAACTGTCTAAAAAACAAAACAAACCCCTGAAAACTCGCTGAGTGCAATTAAAAATGGTTGCCCATCGTGCACAACAACGAGGAAAGGTGGCTCTTACCTTTCCATCAAGGCCAGAAGAAAACGAGCTGCTAACTCCT